AAGAAAACCCCACCAGTGGAAGATGGTGGAATGTTCTGTAACCACCTATGGAACTGGTATGGATACTTCTGGCTAATAAATAGGTGTACCACCTGGAGCCAAGGATGCACGTTAGGAGGAGCCATCCCCCCTGCATCCAGCACTGTAATAAAGTAAAACCTGCTTCTAATACTACAACTGGTGTTAAGGAGTTTTATTCCAGAGTCTTGGCTTCCTACAGAGTACACACACGAGCAGAAAAGTCCCACTAAGAGGTTCCGAGAGGTTGCTGAGGACGACTTAATTTGCAAAAAAGAACAAAACAGCAAGCCAAGGAAGGAATCAGCTTTGAAAGAGATAAAGGGGAAAGCCAGGAAAGTTGTTGCTTGTAAGCTCAAAACAGCTGACACTACAGAACTGTGAGGCTTCTATTGGGAACCTGGGGCAGATCTGGTGCACAATCAACACCTTCATTTCATTTGCTCTTTGTGGAGTCATTATCAGCCAATTCCACCCGGGAGACTGTTCTCAGGAAAACTGAAAACACACCTTCTTGTTAAAGGTCTTAATAAAGAGACTGATCGCATCCTGATAAGAGAAGTTCAACAGTATGCTTTTTTTCTAAAAGCTGCACCTAATTTAGGTACCTCCAAGGGGATTAAAAACCCGGGACTCGGGGAAACATTAAGGGCTTGCTCACTGCCCTATCTGAAAGCATCTGGACTGAGACACTTGAAAACGGCCAGTTTTCTTCTGGCTCCACAGAACTCTTCCCAAGCAATAAGGATGGGAGGCACTCACTGAAGCGCTGCCAGGTCCAGAAGATGTATTATTCCCGTGAATTCTCGAATCTCACAACATAAATCTCGTATTTTTAACCCGACAGCACTCCCAAAGATACCTGTTGGCATTACAATCTACTGCTCTATTGCCTGTTTGTACCAGGAAGGAAATACAGGGCATACAACCAGGCACAATAGTTCTCAGGTCTCTAGAGATCTGACTTAATTCTTCCAAAGTAACCCATTTTAGATTTGAAATTTCAGCCAGTGTAAGATATCTTCAAGATCCTGCAGCCAGGAAGCAGTAAACCTTCCATCTCTTTAACTCTTGTAAATACAAGCTGCTACTGAGAGACTAATATCAGGTCTTAATACTATTACACATCTAGAATTAACAACAGACTCTATAAAAATAACAGACAAAACCCAACAGACTCTAATAAAAATAATGCCTTTTTTTATATCTGATTTTTTTGAAAGCTTTAGCCAAATCAGTTCTGGCAGAGTAGATAATAAATATGAGGCAGAAAAAAAGCCAAACGTGCAAACAAAGATCTAAATGAGGACAAAAAAATGAATCCATATGATGTGGCTGTCCACACCCACCATCCCTTTCTTTTTCTAAAGAAAACCAGAGCAATTTCACAGCCTCTCACAAAATGGAATAATGTATTTGGGCTCTGACAGGTAGAAACTCCTCACAATGTCAAGCATTTTTCACATAAAGCAACAATAAATACATATTACATAAAGATTTAAACGTGTGCGCACACGCACAGAGAAAAACAAAGACCAAAACTGAAAAAGAAAAGGAAAGAATCGGAAGTCTGGCAAGCAAAATACATCCCCCAGCAAGGGACTGACTGCCAAACACCTCTGTCATGACTAGAAGTAACTAAAGAGGAGAGATAGAAAGGAGAAAGAGGGAAAGTAAAAGATTGTGTTCACCAGTTTCTACAAAGACTGAAAACCATCTTCATGTTCACATTCACCCAGTGCCTGCATCCACACCAGCAACTCACATCACCGGGGGGAAGGGAAAGTTCACACGAAGCTGAACCTCAGACTACAGCTCAGTCCCAAGGCAGGGCTTGCTCTTTTTCTGCAAAAAGGGGCAGCAGAACTGCTCGTGACCAGGAACTGTTTCTGTTCTTCAAAATAACTTTTGCTGAAATTCTGCACAGGGCGTGACAGCTTCTGAAGAGCTACGACTCACTGCCAGCCTTTTGTGAAACACTCGGGGAGGGGTTTAAGTCAGCCTTGATTCTGGGGGCTGTAGCAGGGTTTGAGGTGCTCAGGGAAAGTAACAACCCGGAAAAGGCACGTGCAGCACAGGAAAATCCAGGCAGCAACAGACACCAGAGCGTCTGGATAACTGCACTGCTGCAACTTGGGTTTCCAGAATTCAAAGCACTGTGCAGTTAGTCACATTAATTTTTTACAATACTGTGTTTTATTGGAGGTGGGGAAGTGTTTCTAAAGGCAGATCACAGATCAAACATTATCTCAGTTCATGACTAGTGTTACCCCGGGAAACCAGGCAGAGAAGATTCACCTCATGTCTGTCCGTGGCATTAAGTAATTTTTCTGATGCCCTTTAATATAATTTTTTTCCTAAAGATTTCATTCATACAAGACACTCCAGTCAGATCTCTGAGTCTCTCTCAACAACAAAGGATCAAAAATGCTTTTTGGGGACTGAGGGGATTGATGCAAGAGAGCAGACAGAAGCAGAGCCAAGTCTTTCTGTGGTTGTTTTTCAGGTCAGTGCCTCTGGATCACAACGGAAAATGCAGATTTCTAGGACACACAGGCTTTGCCCACACACCCACGGGGCTTGCCCACCACTCCCAGCTGTCAGTGTCACCCCCTGAGCGGGGGGAGCCTGGCCCCCCAAACCCCTGTGTGACAGCTCAGCTTACAGACCTGTGCTCTGGGAACAGGCGTGGTGTTGGCAGGGAACGTGTGCCTATAAATACTCTATTTTACTCAGGCTGGAATCTTCCACTAAACCATGGCAGAGAGAGAAACAACTACCCGCCCCTGGACAGTCTGGGGAGTGCAGTAAGTGACCTTCCCTAGAGCAGTTCTTAAAGCCCAGCTCCCTCTTTTCTCACCAAACACTTTGTTTCTGCATTTTAACTCCTTTCCATAATAAATAAAAGGCAGAGCATCAGAGCCCAAAAGCAAGGAGTTAAACAAACAAATATTTCTTGCCAACAAAAGGCGCCTTCGGACACCTCTCAAGCTCACCAGGGAGCAGATGATTCATCCCAGGAGAAGTGGGATTCCCAGGGGGACCCAGTCCCTGCTCCCTGTGGGGGGCTGGTCTGGATCACTGCTTTCCACCTCCTGCAAGTCACGTCTCACGCTGATTTTTAAACAAACAAGCAAGTCTATGTCCTTGATCACTACATCCGAGTTTAAATGCTCTCACTAACTACTTCAGTTAAGGACAAAATCCCAGAATTGTTTGGGTTGGAAGAAACTGTAAAGATCATCTCGTTCCAAACCCCTGCCACGGGCAGGGACACCTTCCACTACACCAGGTTGTTCCAAGCCCCGTCCAACCTGGCTTTGAACACTTCCAGGGATGAAGCAGCCACAACCAGAAGGTGTCTATCCTGGCAAACACCTCTAATGATCTTTGAGATAACGAAGCTCTGCAACAGAGACTTTCCACATCCGGAAAATCTTAACAGGGAAAAGCATGAAAGTAACTGGCCGCTTGCCCAGGGTTCCCAGCCTCGCCCATGACTAAGCTCCTGGAGCCGCGGAGTGCCCGATGTGTCCCCCGCACACCGCCCGCCCCCCGTGTCCCGGGGCACAGGCTGTGTCCCACCTGCGAGAGGGGGCCGCGGTGCCGGGCGTGCCCCCCTTCGCCACAGCTGCTCCCCAAAGCCCGCGGTGCCCCGTGCTCGGTACCCCTCACCCCCCGCCCCGGGGGCTCTGTACGGACGCGGGGAGGGCCCTGCAGCCGGTGGGGCAGGGGCAGGAAGGTCCGCGGCCTGGCCTGGCCTGCCCCGCCACCGCCCCGCGGGCCCTCCCGGGCTGTGGGAAGGATCCCGGCAGGAGGGGCAGCGCGGGAAACCCAGGGAGCGCGACTCACGCTTGTACTCGGCCATGAGCCGCTTCAGCGCCGTCCCCGCCATGGCGCGGCCCCGCCGCCGCTTCCGGGTGCGCGGCCAGAGCGCCCGGGGGTGGGGATGGGGGGAGGCGCTCTATCCCGCCGCCCGCGCCTCTATGGTAGCGCCCAGTCCTCCAGCAGGCGCCGCGCGTGCCCAGGAACGCAGCGGGAATTCCCGCTCCCGCGGGCGAGCCCGGGGGAAGCGACGGGAACGCGGCAGCTGCTGCGCCGGGGTGGGAGAGAGGGTAATACGCAAAATGCTGCATTGTGCGGCAACGCCCCCCCCCCCGGAGCGGGGTCTGTGCGGCAGCGCCGCCCCCTCCCAGGGGGATTTTGTGCAAGTGGTGCCTGGAGCGGCTCCCGCACGTGCCCTTCCCGCCAGGACAGGGCCACAGAGAGCACGAGGCGGGAGCCCGAGTCCCAGGCCGGATTGATTCACCGTGTGCAACAGCAAAGGGCGACGCATCAACGTACAAATCCAGGAGCAGACAACGGGATCCGCGGGATGTCCCACCCCAGCCCACCAACAGGAACACGAAAAAGGGAACGGGGGCCCTTCCAGCGAGATTCCTACAAGCGGGAGCAGATCTAACGTGGCCAAATGGAAAGAGAAAAGGCTGGTATGAATCCCATGGAGCAGCAGGACGGCCTGAGTTAAAATTCCCCTGGAACGGGCTCCACGCAGCCCAAACCACCACACAAATCATTAAACTTCGAAAGGTTAGGGAGACAGGAGAGCGGGTGATTATTTTGAAGACACCTCTCTCCTCGCTCACCCGCTTTTCTGCACGGTTTGGTGACATTGAAAAGTGCTTCCCCCCCCCCCCCCCTCCCATTTATCAAGTTTATCTACCAAAAACAAGTACTGAAAAGAAACCTGAGGCTGCAGACTTCTGGTACCCAGGGTGAAACAGAATCGAAATTAAGGGAGCAGAAGAAAGGGACAGGAGCTGCCTGGCACTCAGCAAACGGCTGGAATTTCAGCAATGGGATTTTTATAAGCTTCTACAGCAAAAAACACCACTGCTCTATTGCGAGCATTGGTTTTGAACCAACTGCCCTGCCACCTCCAGTTCTGCAATAATTCAGGACAAAAAAAAAAATCTCATTTCTGCATAAAAAAAGTATATTTTGGACACCTTTATCATAACATGACAAAACACATGTAAACCTTCAGTATTTGAACTCTACTGTAAGTATTGTCTCATGTTCCAGCCTGTGCCGAGGGCTCAGTGCCACCCAAGGGACCGACTGCGTTTGCAACACGAGCTAAGAACTTAAAACCAGTACCTCTGTTCCTCCTCTTGGGTGCCTCCTAAAAGTAAACTTTCATGCTCAAAACTAGCATGAAAATACACTGATTTACATAATTTGAGTTAAACAGAGGTGCAAGACTGAACAGAGCCAGGAATGAACGCTCCACGTCCCAACACATGGATGAATGTTCAGGCTATAGGTTTAAAGAAAGAAAATAAATATAGTAAAAACAATTAAAAAAAATAACAGCAGAGAGAATACGCATGAGTTAATCTGAACTTAAATCAAGCTGGCCCAATTCAAATGCTGATCCATCCCTGCAGATACTGTTTTGACTTGTGCATGCAGAATGTCAAAGGCAACAAGCAACTTTGGTAAATGTCCTCTGAAGTTTTGAGGAGCCCCGTGTGATTGGAATGCTCATTTGTTCACTATTAAAATAGCAAATTCGAGGACAGATGAGAGAGTCAGGTGAGATGAGGATCCTGAAACTCCTCTTTCTCCAAAGGACAGCGTGTCTTAGCACCCTCCACCTGTCTGCTGCTGGAACACATTGATCGTGTCTTCATCTTCCGTCTCTTAACTGTGGGAGTAACACAGGAATTATTTTAACATTTTAAAAATATGGAAATTATAAGTAACACAGAAGACTTGAAAGACACACGATGACAAAAGCACTTGCTTTCCGCTCCTAACCAGCAACAGAGCACTTCAGGGATAACTTAATTAATTAACACAGGAAACACTTTCCCTCAGTCAACCTGAACAAAATACTTGGAACATGCTAAACTCAGAGCAACTATTTCAGGATCATTTTGATTTCAAGCCCCTTTAATCATCACACAGACATCAGAATATCTGTGTAGCAATTTGCAGCAAGAGTGTTTTTCATACCTACGCAGGTGTTTCTGCTTCCTTAATTGGCTGTCCATCAAACCGGAATATAATCTGCCTCATTGACAAACCCTGTGAGTTCTAAGTAATTAACATGAGAAACCACGCTCGTGTTTCCAAATCCAAACTAAGTATTCATGGATTTACTGTCAGAACAAATGTTAACAAAATTAACACTCAAAAGACAAGGAGGAATGGATTCAAACTGACAGAGAGTAGGCTTAGGTTAGATATTAGGAAGTTCTTCCCTGTGAGGGTGGTGAGGCACAGGTACAGGCTGCCCAGAGAAGCTGTGGCTGCCCCATCCCTGGAAGTGTTCAAGGCCAGGTTGAACAGGGCTTAAAACAACCTGGGATAGTGTAAGGTGTCCCTGCTAATGGCAGGGGTTTGGAACGAGATGGGCTTTAAGGTCCCTTTCCACCCAAACCGTCCTGTGGTTCTATGATTTAAATTTAATCATCAGGACAAATACAAGAGCATATCTGTCTCCTTTTCTACACTGAGGAAGGCTGAATGTTGGTAAGTTTATATTGCCCTTAAAACCTGAGTTAACACTCAACTGAAACCTGTTTTGACAGTGTTTAATCACACGAGGAAGTCTTTATTCCCTGTCAATCCCTGAGGGATTGAGCACTGCTCTGCCCTCTCAAATCCTTGCAAATCCCTGTGTGATTCACCCTTCTGTCACACACAGAGCCAAAGGAATACTAAAATTCCATGCACCTCTGCAAAACCCTAAGTATTCACCCCTCCTTCCCAAACAGAGAGATGTCTCGATGCAGCAGGCACAGAACAGAGCAGCATGTAAAGTTTGAGTAAGTGAAGAAAGCATCCTGCTAGTAACAGATGAGGGGAAACACTGGCAAACTCCTCTTCCAAAGCCATTTACATCCCCACCCTCTGCTCTGTGTAAAGCAGAGGCATTGAGGGCTCTAGGCTCAGGAACTGGGATGGTGGGGCTACATCCCTTTCCAGTTTAGGAAGGCACCAAGGAACAGCCTCTGACACGGAGCAGCCAACAAACACCTGCAAACACAGCAGTCCCAACTGCATTGGGCAGTGGGAGGGACATGGGAAGGGAGAAGGAAAAAGCCTATGAGGAAGCTGTGGGATGGAAGAATTACTTTTGTGCCATTTTCCAAATAGAAAATGCACTCAAAGTTGATGAAGTTTTCAGAGATAACAGGACTGAGGATCAGCGAATTGTCTCAGGGCCAGGATCAGAACTGGAGGAACTCTGGTAGCGCTGCCACGGGACATCAGGGAAAACACGTGAGGAGCTAAAGGAAACATCCACTCACTGAGAACTGCACACCGAGAAGCTGCCAGCATCCCAACTCCTCGCTCTCCCGCACGCCTGGATAGGCTCACTCCGCCGCACCGGCACGTTCCGGGCTCCGGGCAGGGAAGCAGCGAGGGGACCCTTGCCCGGGGGGCGCGGGGTCGGTGCCTACCTGAGCCCGCAGTACGCCTTCATGAGCTTGCCCAGCGGGGCGAGCCGCTTCATTTTGAACTGCACCACGGACCCGCGCTGCCCCGCAACTTTCAGGCTGATCTACTCGTTCTCTCTTTTCACGCCTTCCCGGATGGGACACGGCAGGGCGCGCCGGGTTCAGAGCTCAGCCGGGAGAGTCGCGCGGTCCCTACGGAGGCCGGCCCGCCTGCGCCTCCCCGCGGCCCGCCCCGCAGTCTTGTCCCGCTAGCCCAGCGGGCAGGGCGGGGCCCGGGACGCGGCGGAGGGACCGCTCCTCTGCCCGACTCCGCCCGCGCCTCACCCGGGGCTTCTCCTCCGACATGGTGGGGGGCCACGCCCCCTCCAGCGCGCGCCTCGGCCACGCCCCCGCCCCGCCCGCCCGGCTCCGCCCCTGGGTCACGTGAGCAGGAGCGGTCACCGGGGCCTGTCCTGGCGGCCGCTCCCCAAAGTGCGTCACGAGGCGGGGGGCGGGGCAAAGGAGGCGGGGCAAAAGGGGGCGTGACCGAGACTATACCAGAGCTTCCCGGCGGGGCCGCAAGGGGGCGCTGTGCGGGACCGGCACGGGATACCCGGGCGGGGGTTTAGGAACACTGCCCGGGGCTTTGGGAGCACTGCCCGGGGCTTTGGGAGCACTGCCCGGGGCTCTGGGAACACTGCCCGGGGCTTTGGGAACACTGCCCGGGGCTCTGGGAGCACTGCCCGGGGCTCTGGGAACACTGTCCGGGGCTTTGGGAACATTGTCCGGGGCAGCCGCGAGACACCTCCCGGAATACCCCTTCCCGGCCGCACGGCACCGCCTGGCAGTGGGGAACACAGGAGTACGGGCCTTCCAGCCCCAAAGCACAGCCCGCCCGCGGTCTCCAGGCCGGCCCAGCACAGACCGGCCCTGCCCAGGGGCACGGGCGAAGAGGCAGCAGGGTGGGATGTTGGCGCTGCTGCGGGACCCCCTGCAGGGAGGGACCGGAACAGCTCTGGGCTTCTTCAGAGGAGACCCCCTACATACGAGGCCCAGCCAGGCTGGGGCCGCTTCTCCCACGGGCAGCACAGACAGGTGCCCTTTGGCCGGTGGCTGTGCCAGGGCTGTGCCAGCCCCAGGGATCCAGTGCCTCCCCAGGGATTGCAGCCCTCCAGAGCACAGGGGTGTGCGGGGCCAGGAGATGAGAAGAGGATCTGCCCCAAGCCTCCATCTCGGCCTGTTTCCCTGCCCTGACCTTCAGAAAAGCACACACTGGCCCCTTTGGCATCTCCTCAAGCAGTCGCAGGGGACTTTTCCTTAACCTTTCTTCTTCTCTTCTGGACTGCATCCCCATGGGGATGAGCAAAGCAGCACCGAAGCAACTAGGAAAAGCCCCTCTCCTCTAGTTCCATCATCTACATTCCTCCCCCTCTGCTGGTTCTTCAGCCACAGCCCACCTTCTCTGACGGCCGCATCCTTCCCTTTCCCACAGCTCCCACTCCCCCAGTCCTGCAGCAAGGAGCAGATGAGTAGAAGAAACCAGCTAAAGCTCGTGTAGGAATAACATGGGTTTTTTAATTCACGGGGCCCACAAAGGCTCCGGTTCAAAGGGGATGAAGGGGAGGCGGCGCACGTAGTCCCCCGAGGCCAG